CCGCCTCTTCCTCCTCCAGCTCCGCCCCTTCCTCTCTCAACACCCCTTCCTCTGCCTTCAGCTCCACCCCTTCCTCCTCCAGCTCCGCCTCTTCCTCTCTCAATGCTCCTTCCTCTGCCTTCAGCTCTGCCTCTTTAATCTCCTGTTTCTCTTCTCTCCTCTTGTCCTTCCACTCCTCTTCCCTCAGCTGCATAGTTTCCAGCTTCTCCTCTTCCTCCCCCAACACCTCTTCCTTCTCCTCCTGCGTCTCTTTCATCTTCAGTTTCTCATCTCTCCTCTTGTCCTTCCACTCCTCTTCCCTCTCTCTCAGTCTTTCATCATGATTCTGTCTCTCCTCTCCTCTTTCCCTCTCCTCCTTACAGCTGAGGTCTATTTCATCTGCTGTGCTCTCCTCTTCCTCCCATCTCATCTGCTCGATCTTCTCCAGCAGCTCAGTGACCTGAGTGCTGTCCTGCCTGTTCTGGTTGTTGAGAACATGATACCTGTTCCCACATTTCTGCAGGAGCCACTGCAGGTCCTGCCCTCCGGTCTGGATGTGCTGCTCCAGGGCTGTGTCTCCCAGCCTGTCCCCACAGGTGAACAGCAGCAGCGTGTGTCTCCACGCTGTCTCGCCCAGGAGCTCCAGGTGCTCCTTCGCTGATGTCCTGTGTCTCTCATAATCCACGCGGACAGGATTCACCAGGAGGATGGCGTGGGGTCCTGGGGGGCACAGAGACGTACTGCGCACGATCTCCTGTTTAATCTGAGCTGGAGTTTCCTTCAGAGTAAACCAGCCTGGGGTGTCGACCACAGTGACCTGTCGCCCTGCCACCTCCCCCTGTCTCCTCACGCTCTGCTCCGTTCCTCTGCAGCTCACAAACTCCTTCCTGCCCAGGATGGTGTTTCCTGCTGAGCTCTTCCCAGCTACTCTCTCCCCCAGCAGCACGATCCTCAGCTCCGAGAGCCGCTGGGCCTCGTGGGAAACAGCCCGTCCCTCCTCTGTCCCTGCAGCCTGGACTCCCGCACCTGTCCGGGAGAAAGAGCACAGCTTATTCCCCAGGGGTTCGGACAGATGCCCCAGCTGGCAGGGTGATATCAGGGCGACCTGTTCAGGGAAGAGGTCAGACACCCCCCAGGTACACTGGACCCCAGCTGGTGGAATGCAGGTGAGGTCACACGGGACCTGACGACTGGCTTCACCCCCCGACCCACAACCCCTGACCCCTGACCCCTGACCCCCATCAACCCCTGTCCTTCATCCCGTGCCTCCAGCTCTCTCCTGATTTAACTGACCTGCCCTGGGACTGCAGTTCGGATCGTGCTCTGTCTGGCCCCTCAACTTGGACTGATTTGCCAAGGGTGACCTGGGCAGGGAGCACACAGAGCAATTTCCGGGAATGATCTCGATCCGCGAGGAATAGTAGCTGCCCTGTCCGCCGTGGGATTACACACTGAAGGCTGACTGAACTGGTTCTCAAAGTGAAACCTGTGCCGTGCCTGTCAGATCCCATTCCTGTCCCCTGAGATCACTCATTCCTCAGACCCACACCTGGACTTCCTCTTCACTGGGACAATAAACTTGAAAATACACTCCAGGGCTCTCTGACACACTCACACAGCACAGAGACTCACCAGGATCCAGTGT